TTTTTTTTTTTTTTTTTTTTTTTCTTTTTTCTGTTGTCTTTTATTATGTGCTTGACTTTTGGAACTGATTGTGTCTTCACTCTGTTCAAATTTTAACCTACTACCTAATATGAATTTTTGTTCAAATCCCATGTGACATCTCGAGTGTATCCCTTTGACTTTGTTAAGTAGCACATAAGGCTAGTTTGGAATTGTGCTGAAAGCTGTTCTTTGTTTTTGCTTCGGAAAGACCTATTATCAATTATTGATTAAGCAAGTCAAAATATAACAAGTCTGCTACCACGTTTTAGGCTTTAAACTCGTGTCTATTAGGAATAGGTTTTCACACATTTATAAATAATGTTTCGTTCTCTTCTTCAACTGATGTGAGATTTTCATAAACCACCCACTTCGTTTTAGGGCCAGCGTCCTCGGCACTTGTTCCCTTCTCCAATTGAGACCCTTAATCCACCCCCTTCGAGGTTCAGCCTAGGCTGACACATCACCTAGTTCTTCTCCCCCTTCCTGGCTCGGCCTAGGCTGACACATGACCGGATTCTTCTCCACAATTGATATGGGATCTCACACTTCACCCCCTTTTTGGGCTAGGTACTTGTTCACTTCTCCAATTGATGTAGGATCCCCAAATCCACTCCCTTTTGGAGCTCAGCCTCTTCACTAACACATCGCCCCATGTCTTACTTTTATTCTATTTGTAACAGTTCAAGATCACCACTAACAAATATTGTTCTTTTTGCACTCTTCTTTTCAGGTTTTCCCTCAAAATTTTAAAAATGCATCTGCTAGGCAGAGGTTTGTACACGCTTACAAAGAATGTTTCGTTCACCTCCTCAACCGATGTGGAATTTGACAACCTATCCTTCTTAAACCATATATAAGACATGAACAAACTTATAATCACGTTCAAGTTCAATCAGCACTCCCGTATGTTAAAAGTGGCGGTTCCATTAAATTGGTAATCACAATACAAACAGCCAGATAGGGGAATGGCATGCCTTTTGCACATAATGTAACCTAAAAAAACCTACATCTTTAGACAATTGATACCCAAATTACATGAACATAAACAAAACAAAGCAAACATATTGAATTTTTACAACACAAATTCTCTTCCTTTTCTTTTCCCAAACTCAAACATCAACCTCCTTCTTACCATTATTATCTTCCATGGCTTTGTCCAACACCACAACTTTCTTGTACTTAACAACGTCCATCTGCTGCACCGCTAACTCCTCAGGCACCACTGGTCGCCTATTGCCGAAGATGGTCCATAAATACAACGCCACAAAGGCTGTCAATGCCCCACACCCAGTCCCAAAAATCATGGCTGCAACTACTCTCATAAAGCAATTATTGCCCTCTTTAACAACATTTTGAGGTTCTGATTCCTTACTAATGGCGATAGACTTCGGATCCAGGGGCTCCGAATGCATCCAATTCGGAATGTTCTTGAGCTTGAACCTCCATGAATACACCAAACATGGCTGCGATGAGTTCCTATTTGATGAACTCAAACCCACCAGCAGTTCCTCATCTTCACTCCAAATCTGAGAGATGTCAATTGGGAATGAAAGCAATGCCACAGATGGCTTCTTGTTTAAGGTGTTTTCTGCTAATCTTACTTCTAATTGCCTAGAACCCGCCTCGTAATTTATCCAAGCGTGCAAATTCTGCCCTCTAATTAATGCCGATGAACTGTTTGAAAAAATGCCTGAATCAGCAAATGATGTATTTCTCTTGTGACCCACATCAATTCCTACCAAAATTCTAACCAGATCGCCATTCTTAGCATCAGAAGAAGTAGTAAATTTAACAACGATCATGTTTAACTTCTGTTTCTTCTCCGATTCGGAATTAAGCCCAAATGGTCCGTTATCAAAGGCACTGACATTAAAACTACTAGGAACAACAACAAAACCCAAACCATCCTCCCCTGAATTTGGCGACAAAGAAAACGAGAAATCAGTCGAGAAAGACATCAATCTCCTCGATTTACCTCGAACGAGTCTGATGGGTTTCTTGTACACGATTCGCCCAGCACTGGAAGTGGCCGGAGTAGTGAGACGGAGAGCACTGCCGCCATCGACAACCGCCGCATCGCCATAGAGAGCAACATTGAGCTCAAACTGTGGATCTCCACGAAACCCAGAAAGGGAAAACGAAGGAGATGAAAGAGAATCGACGGATTTGAAGAAAAGGATGAAGAAAAGGAAGGAGGGGAGATGAAATGCCGCCATGGCTGAAGTGAAAAAAGCTTGAGGGGTATTGCAAGATGGAAGGAGGCTAGTGCGGTTGCTTTGGATTGTGGAGTAAAAACATGTTCTTCTTTACCTGGGAATGAAACTTTTTCTTTTTTTTCTGCAACTTTTTTTGTATATATATATATATATATATATATTTCCACTAGGGTTTGAAGATGGAAAGCTGAAGAAGAAAGTAAAGAATCGACATTAAAGGGTGTTGGGTGGGCTCGGAGGTTGAGGAAATTAATTGCATCTGCTCTTAACTCCATTGTTTTTGCAATTATGCCCCTCCTTCTCTTTCACTTTTCAAATTCCCCCCTAACTAATTTCCAAATATTCACAACTCACACCCTATTATTGTTATTATTAGCAACTTCCCTTTTATTTAGTTACAAAGTTCAAATTTCTACTGACATTTTATTTCTTAGAAATATTAAAATATTAACCAAAACTATCCGAGATAGTAGCAACAAATACTCTTAATAAAAGAGATTTAATTGTCGTGTTTGAAAAGTATGAATTCGTGTAAATCTGTACTTAAAACTGTGTACAACAATGAGATTGAAAGACTAAGTTTAACAGACTGATGTTGAACTTACAAATTCGAACCCAACTCGAACTATAAGGGTTGGGTTGGGTTGTATTAGTATTTCGGGTAGGGTTGGGTTGGGTTGTATTAGTATTTCGGGTAGGGTTGGGTTTATTTTTCTGAACTCGAATGGAATCGGTTCAATTTCGGGTTCATGGGCAAAACCTTCAGATTGACCCGAGCAAAAAAAAAAAAAAATATATATATATATATATTAAGAATTATTTTATATTAATGAGTTTACCAGAGTGGTATTGAGTCCGGTTCAGGGACATTCACACTTGAGTTTGACTCCAAGTCAAATACATGTTTCTTTTTTATTATAGCCAACCCAACCATAAATTAGGTTGGGTTGGGTAAAAAAAAAATCCTCCACCCGACACAACCGTCAGAAAAATCCTCCAACCTAATTCAACTCGGACCATGTACACTAGTGTGTATATTTATATATATGTCGACATAAAACGGGTTTCTGTTAAAAAAGGATTCGGTAGCATAGTCTAAATCTAAAGGGGTTCTGTTAAAAAGATCGGTTAAAATTTGGAGTAAAATGCAAATAACACTCATTTTTCCAAATTTCTTTTTAATAAAGTTTGAAAATTTTTCACCAAATTATTTACCAAGATTGAAGTAACTTAGTACCAAAAATAAAAGTCAATAGAAAAAGGGGCAAAATATAATTTATGTTAAGAAAGTGTGGGGTAGTTTCGAATATAAGGAAAAATGATGGGTGAAATTGAAAATAGAGGGAAAAAGAAGTGGATTTTAGCAAATTATGGAAACATATTTAACCGTTATTTCAGAAAGAGAGAGAGAGTAGACGGGGGAAGTACACTGTCGTAAAGTCACGCGCTCCGTGTTGGCTTTTAAATAGCAGAGCATTAAAACGGGACACGTGTACAAGCCAGTGAGCGAGTACGTTTTCTTCATCATCATTAATTTCTTCAATGTTTCAAAAATAACTTAAATTTAGAAAAAAGAAAAAAGAAAAAAAAAGTGGAGTGGTGGGAGGATTATTGGACGACGTGTCGGGTCGGGGGACCATTAAAATGGGGGAAGGGTTTTGGATTTGGAATTGCGTATAAAAATAGAGGGGGGGGCATGTGTGGTCTTTTGACATAGAGATTTGAACGACAGTGCGCGTGCTTTTGTATTGTCGTCTTGGCATTATCAAATTACCAAACAAACCCTTTGTCCGACAATAACTCGTAGTGCTCTCTTCAAATTGCCTTTTTCCCTCTCTATTATTTCCTCATTATTACATTTTTCACTTTTTTATTTATTTTTATTTTTTGGTGTTATAAAAATATAGATATTCTTTTTGTGCTTTTATAGCGTAAAAATTTAGATATATTTTATTTTTAATAATTTAGCTTCGTACAGGTCAAACTTGGTCCAACTATATTTTACTTTTTGTCAATAAAATCATCTATAGGAGAATAGAGAAGAACTCGTCTTTTTATACTTAGACCGATCGATGATCATTTTGTCCGATAAAAAAATTTACTTTGACCAACTTTGACTTTTATAAACCTAAATTGTTACCTTTGGTAACTCTTTGTTGCTCAAACAACAATAATAATAATAATAAACTCATACCCATAAATAACTGGTACCAAATGATAAGAAATTACAAGTAAGATTTAGATTATCTTGTTGATCGAATATCCCAATCTCAAGGCAAGAGTACATGTTTGATATTTGAATCACTCCACAAACAAGATCGACCGTGTCAAACTTGAATGATTCTAAACTACTTATAATTTCAAAGAAACTTAGTTATTGGCTAAATGAAAGCTCAAATACTCATTTTACTGAATTTTTCAAGTCTCTCTTTACAAAGAAAACGTACATTATTTTATATAATCTCAAAATGAAACCCTTAACCTTATCGGAGACAATCTAATAAATTTAGTTTTCAATTATGCATTATAAATTTGTAACCATCTGACTGTAAATGAAATCCCACCTCAAATATTGTCAAGCGCTCACGAAATATATATATTTAAAAGTGGATTATTCCCAAAGATCCTTTTCTTCCTTTCTTTTCATAAAAGTGAATCTTTTTAAAAGATCACAGATGATGTGTGGTCCCCACGGTTATTTGTTAACTTAGGGTATATTTCTTTCTACAATATCATTACAAATTATATTTTAACATAATTTATATTTATCATTAAATTAAATCTCAACTAATTTTGGAACGATTTTAAATTTCTACCATTCATACAAAACGCAATCATTTTATGTGGAAATAATCATTTAAAACATTATCGTAAAACAATCCAAATTTACTAAAAGGTC